TTCAATCAGTTTTTTACTAACAGGAAAGAAACAGCAACTAATTGGAAATGATTTATTCAATTCAGTAATGATAATAACTATATCACTAGCAAGACTTATCTGAAAGAAACGAATTTAATTATTTATGCATGTAATATAAATTACAAGAATATGTAGAAATAAATAAAGTATATTTTGTTGCCATTGTCAATATTATGCTCTGAACATATTCGTTCCTTTGTCGAGACCTCATCACACGCCAACAGAACTTTTCTTTTATTAGATTATACGGGATGCTCACTTTCTAGTACAATTTCATCGTAACTTAATTGCTCTTGATTTACTTGCTGTTGCTATTGTTGTTGTACCTGTTGCTCTTGTTGTAGCTGCTGCACCTGTTGTTGCTGGTGTAGCGGATGTTCTTGTTGTTGTTGCTGCTGCAAGGTATATAAAGGAACAACGCATCATTCAATTATACAATATTTTCACTTATGAAATCTTTCTATTTAAAAATTTCTCTACCTTATTGAGAATCAAAGAAGCTGCTTCCAACTTCCGAATTATTCGACCTTTTGCCATAATATTAACACTATTCGGTCAAGTTGTAATATAGAACTGCTGGACATCATTAGATTGAAAATTCAGATCACAAACGTACTGTTTATCATTTAAATCTATTGACAGTCATTCACTGCACATACTATTAGCATATTTAAATTATTATCGAAACTTTTTATTTACTACTATAAAAAAATTGCAATAATTATTGACTTGACTTATAGTTTTTAGGTTAGTACTATTAGTAGATATATATCTACTCAACTCATTATAAAATAAAATTGGTTATTTGCTTACTTCACTAGTATTTATTATGTTACATTCACTTGGGACACATGGAACACTAGCGCCACCCCAACTTCTGCCATTTCTTGGACAAATTTTGTCAATTTTCCCGGATGAGTTCGTGCTTCTTGTCTAGTCTCCCTGCGTCAGTGTGACCATATATTTTTTAGCGAATCTACTGTAAAATTGCTGAAAATCCACTAAAATCTACCAACATAGTAATAAGAAATTACTAAAAATCTACTTCACTGTTATTTGATCAACTTAACTAGTAAAAGCCATAGATAAGGACAATATACGTTAATTGCACATTGATTAATAGGGAGATTTTAAGCCACTTATTTGAGCAACGTTAAACGTTATCCGTTATGCTGATCATGCGCAGTAGTTCGAAAATAACCGATAACATTAATAACCGATAACGTTGTCCGTAATTTAAGTTGGAATAACGTTACGCTAATAAGCGTATTGGTATACACACCATTTCCAAATGTAACAGTTATCTTATTTACAGGGAAGATATGCTTATTAATTTTGTTAATTATTAATTAATATATTCTATACATACATCACATACGCTTTCTGTTTGCGACTGTAGGTGGTATATTACGTTTTATATATAAGATATCCGACAAAATTATCTCAATAAAGTATAACTTGGCAACGCCAAATTTTTACGTCTAATTACTATTTCAAGATTATTTTCCAGTGCAGCCGTAATATGTACATGTAATCAGTTATGTGCATGTAATCAAATACTTGATGTAATTAAAGAGGTAGCGTGTATCGATAACATAAAAGAGGTTTTATATGCCTAGAATAATATTAATAATACAGGTTATATGTTACGTTTACGGTTAACGGAATTGTCAAGGTAAATCCTGGTATAAAAACTGAATTAACGAAATATTTGGGCCCTTATTTTTCATTAACTGCGCATGATCAGTATTATGTTTAACGTATAACGTTCCTTAAATTTTAGGTGGCTTAAAATCTCTCTAATATTTCAATTAACGGTTATAAAGTAAAAATAAATAATTAGAATAAAAATGTAGGAACCAACATATTTTTTGCACTATCTATTAATGAGTAGAAGTATTTGCGCCGTATTGCGCAGATCAAAATAGAGCTAAATTTAAAGTGGGAAATTTGAATTGATGTTTTTATGAATGTGTATACAAAATAATTAGATCAAATAATCGAAATTTAACCAAAAGTATATTCCGTTTAAAAAACATAAATGACCATACATATAAACTAAAAATAACAAACAAATAAAAAATATAATAAAAATGTTAACAAAATAATGCATAATTTTCAAACATAACGCAATTATATTATTCTATATTCCATATAATTTTATATTATTTAAGGTTATGTTATGTCATATCAGCAAGTCACGGAACACGGCTCGGGAAATTGGTCATGGTCAAACAAAAGTCTAATCTGAATCTGGAGGACTCTGTATTCTGTGGTCAAAAGAGTCTAGCTTGTTCGGTTCGGATTTGGAACGAACGCACTACGCGCCCCAGCTGTGAACGGTGGTAAAATGAAACTATAAATTAGCCGCTTGCTAGGCTAGATTGCGCAAAATATGACCAATAGCGGCACAAAAATGTTTACTATATATCTACTAAAATCTACTGTAGATTTCTTACCTACCAAAAATTTCTGTATTTCGCTGAAAATCTACTAAATATGGTCACGCTGGGTAGACGTTCGACGTTCCTCCCCTCCAGAAATCATGGAATCGCTTCTGGTAGACTAATACGCACTTACAATTCTTGTACTCCGAACATGATGGATCACTTGGGTTTACTAAATTATGACAAGAAATTGCGCATAATTTGCCAAGCGGAAGAAACAAAAGGTGGTATAATGCCAAGTAGTTAGGCACACAGGTGTGTTCATTTCAAAAATAATTTAATGTGACAAAATTGACTACAATTTTGTTAAAAAGACCATCGCCAAAAACTGACTATGCATTGGTTGTAGATCAAATTAATTTCTAAAATAGTAGAAGCCACTACTAAAACAAGAAGCTTCAGTACAAAAAATAAAGTGGCCAGGAAACGCAAGAGAGATTCACCAGATCATATCTCCCTATCAGGAGCGTTAAGCTCCCAAATTGCCGATTCTAGGATAAAACCAAAATCAAAAAACGTGGCCAGCCAAAGGGAAAGGAAAGGAAACGGCTGATTAGTGTTTAATTTTTATTTAATAATATTTACTTATTTACCTGTTATATCTATTATAATAATATAATATATGTTAAATCGCTTGGATCACTTTTAACTTTTTAAAAAACTTTATTTTTTTATTACAAGTAATTCGTTTATTTCACTATCTTTTACAATCTGGGAGTTTTTACTTTGAACTTCGATTTTTAAGTTTAATTACTTATTTTAATATGACACAGAGTTGTGTGGCAACGCGACAATGAATTAAGGTGTATATGGCGATGNATGGGGCCCACCTACGAAGGCTGTCCAGGCCTACACGAGATGAGGCAGGATAAAGAGGGATAATCCCCCTCGATCCCAAATCATTGAGGCCAATTTCTAGCCATAGAATAATGGCGGTTATCAAGGGGACAGAAAATAAATAGTGGAAGGAGAATCAAGAAATAAAAAGTCGAATTAGAAGATATACAAATTGTAGCCATTAAAATAAGTTTAAATCAGAAGAAGTGTAATAAAATACAGAAGATTAAAAGAGAATCCTATAAACTACCAAGAAAAGAACGAGTGTTGAGGAGAAGAAGAGTGGTAAAGAAAAGCATAGCACAGCATCAAGCACAGAGGTATTGTGGGACAGTTAAAACCAATAAAGAAGCGAACAGGGAGAGTCAGGAAATAGGAAAGAAGTTATTTGGCAGAAAGAAAATTCGGTTTAAATCTAAACTGATAGATAAATCAAGATAAACATAATACTGTCAGGTAAATAAAACATTATTTTGCATTGTTGTAGACACTTACAAAAGGAAAGGAGTAGGACTAGCCAGGGAGGTGACGCAGACAGTGGCAGTCTACGGAGTGGAGTAGCAAACAGAAGGAAGACAAGACAAATTGGAGGAGAGTTCGACTGAAAGAAAGGAAGGATAGGAGACATGAGAGACATTACAGGAAGGACATCACGAGTGAGGAAACATAGACAAAAAGAGAACAAAGTGTAGTATAGGTAACCATAAACTAAAATTGTATAGAATAAGTAATTAGAATTCAGTTAGCTCAGGTTAGATAGGGATCTAGTGAAGAATTTTATAAATTTATAAACTGTTGGTATAATACACGAATTTCAAACTCAATTAAAACATTCCTATTTTATTTTTTTTAACAAAAACAAAGAAACAAAATTAATTACCTAATAACTTTTTCTTCATAATAAATTTCAATAGCTTTCAAACCGACTACTGAGATTTCAACATGCTCCATTAAAATTTTTATAATTAAATTATAATTGAGAATAATTAAAAAAAAAGTATATAAAGAATAAATTTATATTTAAAGATTAAAAATCAAAATTAAGTGATATATTAAAAGAGCTAGTTTGGTAAGTATACAACATAATTTATTGTAATAATTTTGAAGAATACTATAGGAAAAATAAAAATTTAAATAATTTAATACAGTTCACATATTAAATCAATCTTTATAATACTATAAATTGGCGCCTAACATTATTTTTTAAATACACTACACATAACAAACAAAATTAAATTATAATAAATATAACACAAAAATATATAATTATTTATAGTATTATAATATATATATATAAATCTAAAAAAGATGACACTGAAACGACAGTGTCAACGATAATACAAAGTATTTGTTTCTTTCTAAAAAATATAAATATTTTTAATTCTCGCATTTTTTTCTATTTTAAAGCTAATTGAAACCAATTATTATTTTTTTAAAATTAATCAAATGAAGTCAAAAACAATGTTATTGACACCAGAAATAGGTATGCAAAAGATATCGGACCACACAGATAAGACTTAACTGTCGATATAACTATACTGTGTGTCCCAACTAGTTTCCTATGAAGACCACACTAATACCTAGTAAACAGTTAGTAATAAATATCCAATATAAAAATTAAAAAGGATATGCCTAAAAATAATCAACATAAGAGCACATACCTGACATATCTGTGAGGTTGGATAGCTTTTGAACGATATCAGAGTGAGATTTGAAGGAATCGATTCTTATGCTGACCATGAGAATCATGAATTCTAAATTCACGATATTAGGAAACGAGTTGCGGGGAATGAGAACAAGGTGATACTAGTTTTGAAGGGTCATTGGCTATGAATTAACTGAGTCTAAATTATAATAATTAGGTTATAATAAATTTATGAATAGCGGGAAAGGCGGGCCGAGAGATGGTGGCTGGGACGACACACATACGCACACGCGTGCACACACGCGCACACACGCCCACACGCACACACCCCAACAAAGAATCCTAAACATTTATTGCAATTTTTGCAATATTATACTAATAACTGACGTTAACTCAGCCTAGGCAGAGAGACCGTCGGCATTTATTTTTCAGATTTTTTTTAGTGCCGTGGAGGAGGGCACTATGTCGCGATCTCCGACTCCAATGGAGAGCGACCGCTCGAGTGGTAGCGAGGTCGGCGACAGCAGACCTAGCAGCCCCGAGTCCTTTGTCGACAGACCTAGCCGAGAGAAAGAGCTGGCGGAGGTAAACGCCAGATTGCGGAAAATGATCGAGGACCTGAGAACCGAACTGCGAGAACAGAGAAAGGCCTTCGACGCGCTCAAAAAGCGGTCCCAAGACAGCACGAGGAGCTGCTGAGCGCCCTCAAGGGGCAACAAGCCTCCAAGGAGATTAAGAGAGGAAGACCAGGCACCTCGTCGGGTTCGGAGGACGAACCCAACAAAGCCAAAAAGAAGCCGGCGAAGGCAGCGGTTTCACCGGCCACAAGCGACGGACAAGACAAATATAGACACAAGGCCGACAACGACGACAACAACGACGACAAATCCGAGCGCGACTTCCGCAACGAAAGAAAGGATACCTCCTGTCATCCTCAGGAAGAAGGAGCAGTGGACGGAAATCAGTAAGAATATGGATAACAAAAACATTAAGTTTACCAGGGCCAGGTTGACGGGTGAAGGCATCGCCATTCACCCACAAACGCCCGAAGATTATCGACGCCTTACGCGAACTCTTGCAGACGAGGGGAAAGAATTTCACACTTTCTCCCTCCCAAGCGAGCGAACGCTGAGGGCCGTAATCAGAGGGATTTCCAACGAGGAAATCCGATCTGATCTTCTGGAACAGGGATTTAACGTTTCTTCTGTTTTCAGGATGACCAGTCGGAGGACCAAGGCCCCCATGCCTCTGGTGCTCGTTCAGGTGCCCCAGGAGCAGGAGGAGCTCCTGAAGGTGACAAGATGCTGCCACCTTATCGTCAGGGTCGAGCCTCAGCGACTGAGCCAACACAATGCCATCGCTGTCAACGCTTCGGTCACGCGCAGAGCCGTTGCACCGCAGCTGTTAAGTGCCTGAAGTGAGGCGAAGGTCACTACTCGGCAGATTGCACTAAGAAGCGCGATACTTCAGCAAAGTGCGCCAACTGCGGCGGCGAACATCCCGCCAGCTACCGCGAATGCCCTAGCTTCTCAAAGAAGACAACAGGGAGCAAGAAGTAGCAGTACAAAGAGGACCCTTAAGCCAACAAACAACAGGCTAAGTTCGCACACCCCTCGAAGGTGACTGCGGCGAAGAACTTCGCCGAAGTGGACGACGCACACACTGTTAGGATTCCTGGCTACCTAGTGTACCGCAGGGACCGAAACAGACACGGAGGAGGCGTGGTCCTGCTCGTAAAAAGAGGTATAGATCACCATATGTTGCAGGTTCCTCAGCTAGAAAACATGGAAGCCGCCGCCGTATCGATTCGTACTCGCAGGTACGAAGACATCGCCGTGGTGACCTGTTATCAGCCCCCTCATCTCCCGCTCACCGATCACGATTTACGCGCGGTCCTGGAGACGTGGCCCCAAACCGTAGCCATCGGGGACTTTAACGCGAAATCGCCCGAGTGGCACAGCACGACCACCACCACGCGTGGCAGGGTGCTTCTGCAATTCCTGCAGAACCACGAGGATGTGACAGCGTACGGACCCGATAGACCGACGTACCACGGTGCAGTTGGAAGACCAGATGTGTTGGATATCGCTCTGCTCAGAGCAATACCGATGGCCGCCGATCTAGCGACGCACTATGAGGGGCGACGACCCATGCCCCCATTCTCCTAACTTTAGGAGACGAAAATCGCGGCGAGGACACCGTTGTCAAGCGGCGAACCGACTGAAACCGATTCCGTTCAGAAATGCATCGAATATGCGCACCCATTCCGGTCGTCCGCGACGCAGCGGACCTCGAGGCCGCCATCGCAAGCCTTGAGATGGATATCCACACTGCCTTGGAAACCAGCTCCACGGAGACGACAGAGAGGAGGATAGCGAACTATTCAGGTGAGCTACCTCTTACGTTGCAGGACCTAATCAGGGAAAGACGTGCGGCGAAAAGAAAAGCCACGAGGACAGCACACCCCCGGGATAAGCAGACGTTAAACCAGCTGAACCGGAGGGTCAAAGCGGTCCTAGAGCAGCACTACCAGGACCCGTGGCAGAGATACTGAACCCCGAAGATCGCAGCCTGTGGACGATGCAACGGGCGCTAAGGACCACCCGGAAGCCGACGCCTCCGATTCATGGAGAGAATGGGATCATCTATACCAGGTGTGAAAAGGCCGAGGCTTTCGCCGAAAGCCTTGAATTACAGTGTAGGGAGAACCTTCTCAACGACGAAGTACGCGTACGGCGTTGTCAACGCCAACCCGACAGGAACGACATCCGGCCGGCGACACTCGAGGAGGTGAGGGACGTCCTGCGGCACCTTAACCCCCACAAGGCACCCGGATGTGACCAGATCGGAAACCGAATACTCAGAAAGCTCCCCCACAAGAGAGTGATGGCGCTGCTCAACATCGTCAACGCCATCCTCAGATTGCGAAGATTCCCCACCAGGTGGAAGAAAGCCGACGTCATCTTCTTCCCGAAAGCAGGTAAGAATCTAACCTTTGCTGCCAGTTACAGAACCATCAGTCTCCTGTCGATGATGAGCAAGGTAGCAGAGAGGATCATCCTGACCAGACTGCGTGAAAGCTCGGACGAATTGCGAGTTATCCCCGACGAGCAGTTCGCCTACCGCAGTGGACACTCAACGGAGCAGCAGATACTCAGGTTAGTAGAACATCTGTCCGCAGGTTTCAGCAACCGAGAATCCACCGCGGCAGTCTTCCTGAACGTCGCCAAGGACAAGGGCAAGACAGGGTCTGGCACGATGGGCTTCTCGCAAAGATGCTCGACTTTGGCTACCCTGTCGGACTGGTCAAACTGGTGGAGTCCTTCCTCAGAGGCAGGAAGCTGCGTGCGAAGGTGGAACCCCTTCCACCTTCGAGATAGGGCCCCCCTATCCACCTATCGAGACGTTGAGGCAGGCGTCCCCCAAGGAGCCGTGCTATCACCGCACCTGTTCAACATCTATACATCCGACATGCCTAGGACAGAGCGCACTACCGTGTGCNCTGTGGTAATGGGAATCTATTAGATTGTTGCGTTTGTGTGGATGTGAAAGTTGGTTGTCTTGTATGGGGTGTATTTACTCTAAGTTGGAAAGGTGGTGGTCTATTAGTTGGTTGTTTGTTTTGGCTAGGGACCCCAATTTTTGCGCGGTGATAATTAAGATTTTCTTCCTCCGTTACAATTTGTATTGCTTCTTCGATTGTTGATGGATTTCTGCATCGCAAGATATGAGATAATTGTGGGTTTATTCCTGTAATAAAAGCCCTAAGTGTGAAGCTATTATACATATTGATTTTTGTATCCTTTATCGCCTGTGCTGCTTGTTGACAAGATAATTTTGATAACAGTAGGCATCTTATATCAATGCATCTGTCTGCAAACTGATGTGGAGTCTCGTTGACTTTTTGTTTTAGTGTATTTAAGTCGGAAAGTAATGATTCTTCATTTCTTTGATCGCCGAATAAACTTATTAGAATTTCTTTTAATTCAGGGAATGTAACAAAAGTTCGGGCTGAAGTTAAAGCTGCTGCTTTTCCTACGAGCTTTGTTCGTATGTGAACCATCGTAAAGGCTATTCTTGAAGGTTCGTTACCTGGTGCCATTAAGGGTAGTACTGTTTCGCAAGCATTTATAAAGGTAGACAATTTAGTGGGATTCCCATCAAACATAGTGTTTAGGTTATGTTGTGAGCGAATTGTTTGTTTGCCGAGTTTTTATAAAGTTTAAAAGAAACATAAATAAATTTAGCCAGCCCAAGTAATCAAGTAATTAATTAAAATAAGATGATCTCCGATTTATTAAAATCAAAACTAAATTAAAAACATTTATTGTAATAAACTTACATTATGTAAGGAAAATGTAATAGGTATTAGGTAACTGACAGGTGGCCGCTCAAGGCATACACATCTGAAATGAATAGAGAAAAATATCTGAGTAACCAATTCACCAAAATAACAGTAGAAATAGACTAAATGGTACTATAACCATTTATATGATCAAAAGAAACTGATTCTGTAAACAATGAAACTCTTCTGGGTCATCGGTATTAGGGGTCAACTCGCGAAATACCTCTCCGGAAGGACAGTAAGCTAGATTAGAGTATCTACCATGGTAAACAGTGTAACAGCATGCATTCACTAAAGTACTAAGGGTCAACGCGCATAGTACCCACCCTGTATAACTAGCAAAGAGTACGAAGGGTCAACTCGCGACGTACTCGGATAACATTATCTCACATTCGTAGTAAGAATAAATAAATTAGGTATAATTCTGATACAGAAATAGAAACAATAAAACAGGTAAAATTGGTCACCCCGTGAAGTAAACTCATCTGACAATTACTGCAAAGCACAACCACAACACAGCACAGCTAATGTCTACACCAGTTAAGTTATTCAGCTGTACATGTTTTGGTTCGCATTTCTTAGAAATGTTTTCTCATAAATAAAATAATTAATGGTCAATAATAAATATGTCACAATAGGAATTAAATCCAGATAATCTCTAACACAGATTTGTGGTAGGGCCATATTTGATAAATTATTTCTGGATTGTAGACGAATTTGTCGTTCTGTTGGAAAATTTGCAAGTTGATCCGTTAATTC